GGATAAACTTGGCGTGTGGGCAATATTATGTAAATTAGCCACACTGCAATGTCGCAGTCCGACAAAAATTTGACCACAGATGCAGTTTTTCAGAAAAAGACAGCCAACAAATATTTACCTGGTATTTTGCTTTACCTTTTGATTGGTGTGCAGCAATTCCAGAGACACAACTATTTGTGTACCAAACATAAAAAATAAAAAAAAACAACAAAAAACCCCAAAACATTTAATTTTCTTAAAAAGTTTTCCATAATATGTCCCCTTTAGGCGGGACAAATGCAGAAACAGAAAAGTAAATACATCACATTGGTATTTACTTACAATACCCAATTAAATTTTGTAAGAGGCGAACAGAAGAGACGGCAAGGCTAATTAAGTATTTAGTGCTGCCATATAACCTTCATTTTATACCCTCTCCATTTTTTGTGTCTTGAAGTCTGGAATTTGCCATTGACTTTGCCGCCCGGAGCTTTGGCTGATGCTTAGTCATTGTCACAGATGCTCCTGATGAGTTAACTGCGGCGTAAAAATGCCTGTCGCCTCAGGTGCCGCATGCAGATGAACAGACTGCGTTTTGACAGGTACAAGCGAGAGATGACAAACGAGCGCGACAGAAGCCCCCGTAATTGTTTGAGGAAACGAATGATATATGTGTACACATGTCCGATAATTGTTTTCTCTCGTTCTCTATGAGAATTGAATGTTGCTGCATTATTTCCTTGCTGGCCATGTCCCAGTATTAAATTGTCTTCTACTGTTATGACTTAAACAAGACTGTCTTTTTGTTGCGAACTGATTAAGGCTGCTGATAAATTACCTTAGTATCACTAATTTTATTTGACGCTGCATGTCGTTATTGCTCCCGCTGTCGCGTACTAACTCAAAATTTTGTCATGTTCTGTGTACAGTGGCTACTTTTTTTTTTGCACCGTTTTTTTATCGCCTGCGCAGGTGCGTCTTCGAATGAGTCACTGACGGCACGGTAATAAACCACCGCCGACGGTAAAATAATGAAAAGTCATAAAAGGCAGATAATTGGCTTTTTTTCACCCTCTATGAAAATGGATGACTTCTGAGAACTGAAACAAGAGGGGACAAAAAAAACAACACGCGGGGTGTACGGGCAAGGGACAAGGCAAAGGCACAGGAAAGACAAAAGGCGACCGCTTTTTAAAGCAGTGTGGAAAATTGTAAAGGCTGTCGGAAGGAGGACATTTATTGTGGTGACAAAAAGAAAAAAAGGATGACCGAGCAAAGTGGGAGAAACATCGATCTCACACACACATGTGCCCTCTTTGGGCTCTTCCATGTGTAATTACAGTGAAGAGTTTCCGGAACATCATCATCATTTAGAGCAGCGATTCCCAACCTTTATTGAGTCAAGGCACATTTTTTTTTAAGTTCGAAAAGCACAACTAAACCAAATTTTCACAAAAAGAGGATACATATGTCAATAAATCATGCTTTTTGCCATCTAATAGAAGATCGTTTATTTGTTCTTTCTGTCACTGTAAATTGCTGGCATAGGTAGATGGACAAAGATACTTTATTTGTTATCAATAAATAATTTTCTCACCAATCAAGTGAAATTTGATAAGTTGTTGAGGGACCGATACAGTAATTAATTTTCATCGTTTGAGTAACTGTGCCATGAATTAAACTGTCCCCTCTGAATCATGCTAACTTTCGTCTGTTCAAGTGAACCACAAAGTAGTCTGATAAATCTAACAAAAGTTCTGGGGTTGCTTTGCTACACCACCACCGGGGTGAATCATTGCAGACTACTGTACAATGGCATCTCAGGACCGTCAAAGCATTCTGGAGCAAAATGTGCGACCCTGTGTCAGAAAGCTTGGTCTCAGCCACATATCATGGATTATCCAACCGGATAAAAACACACTGTTTAAAACACTGGCCAGAAGAAAACGCATTGGACTATTCTCAGCGGCCTCTGATCCTATTGAGCGCAAATGCTCCGCTTGACATGAGAACAGCGACCGATTGATCGTATGTCACACATTTACTCCTGCCTGCCTAGCAGAGCGAAGCAGAAAGACAGAAAAGGTGGAAGGAGTTCACTTACGTGGGTTTCAACAAGGTGTAAAAGCGAAAAAAAATAAGCGGGTGCGGGGGTGGGGGCTGTGTCACCTGTCATCATGAGACACAGAAGGCGCCTCAGGTGCTCGCCCCGCCACCTGGGAGGACACATTAAGTTCTGATAATGCCCGTGGAGTGTCGTGACTGTCAGAGTGGCGTGACGGAACCACTGAGGAGACACAAGGGCCAAAAGAGAACATGACACCGACAAAGATGGTCGGGGAGGGCACACGGGAGCGAGGGTGCCAAATGGAAGACTGGAGGGGTGACGGGTATTGTTGCTCTCTTGTGCTCTCCAAAAAAAGCAGCAGGAATAGACTGACAGCCGCACTCGAATAATCCTAGAAGAAAAATTAAGTCATAATTGGATTTTCTTCTTGCTCCTTCGAGGGATACTTTACAAATTTTCAGCAGTAAAATGTTCACATCTTTTCTATAATGAATTTGATGATTTCATCACTTTTCTGTGTACAAATAGCACCTTTAAAAACACACTTTGCCACGCGTTGTCGGCTGGATATGACATCACGTGTGCTCAGGGTCAGGTAACAACCAATCATGTGAAGTTCGCAGGCTGAGCCGTGATTGGTCATTACCTGAGCCCTGAGCAGTAGACAACATGTTCACTTTTTACTGCTTAAAATTGCTAAATCAGGCAAATATCCCTCTCAAATGGGTAGGAAGATATTTTCCAACATCTTAAACCGGTTTTAAAATGCAAGGCACCCGACATGTCGTAGGAAAAATAAATCACTGATTTCACATGAAGTTTAATAACATCAACCATTTTTTTAAGGATGATGATGTTGAACTTTAAATGGTGTCAGACCGGGACTTCGCTCACGACTCACCTGTCTCTCGGTCAAGATGTATCTTGTCAACATACTTCCTTAACGCTAATTCCCAAAACATGGCTTTAGCAGCATCTTGTGGCATATTCATTAAAAAACAAAAAAAAGCACCAAAAATCCAAATGGGTAAGGGTTTCAGTGAACAGCTGGGGATTGGTTCCAAAGGAAAACAAAACAAAACAAAACACCAGTTGGTGAATTTGTGAATATTGAACCTGGAGTATGTGGAGGATTTTTGTCGTGGAATGTTGTGAGCTCCCATTTCCCTGCTGTTTGTTGCTTCCTGGAGGAGTTGGGTCATAGCAGATGTACTGTTGATGTAGGTCTTAACTGATGTCCAGGAATTTATTACACTGAAGCAAGTAATCGACATTTTCCTGTTTCCAATATGAAGCCACTATGCTCTGGGGGTGGAGGGGGGGGGATCACGCTGGGGAAGGTTTCAATGTCAAAAGCAAAAACAATGTTCTACCATTGTAAAAGCAACTGCGTCTTGTCATTGTGGGCATCGACGCGCACAGACCTTGAGCATGTGGACTCATCAAGCTTTTATGTCGACCAGACATTTGAAACATTTCCTCTGTGCCAATATCCAACATGTTTGTCCTTGGGATAGGATCAAGATTGGATAGTTTCATCTATATGACGGTTATGGAACTCGGTATTGCACTTGGTTGACATTTTTGCCTTTTTCCATTTTGCTCTGTCTTACTGGGTTATGACTATGTATTACATTACTGACATCGCTTTTCGAAACGACATTTAAGTCGTAACAGTAACATACAAGTACATAAAGAGCAAATGAACGTGAATAGACATAAGGTGAGGTGGATAGCAGCTTCAGGGATCCAAGTGAACTATTAGCTACAGTAAAAATTGACAGTAGGATGTGAGAAATTGTCCAAGTTTTATGTTTCATTGGATTGGGTGGGAATGGAGATGCCTTTTTAACCCATTTTCCATCACAGTAGACTTCCTACCCACTTTTTCCACCCCCCTCAACAAAGGACATGCAAAACTCATATCAACAGCCCACTGCCTGTAAATATTTTGCACCTCTGGAGGTAGTATCAGACATCTATTCACTTTTCCTCCGTAGAGTAGACCCGCCCATTTTTCCTGACATATTTACAGACATGTTAAACCATTGTTCCACTCCAAAATGCAGAAGCACAAGAACTTGCTTGGTACCTCTCAGTATAGCTGGTCAGAAGCCTTTTATACACAGCTTGTAAAAGCCATGTTTTCTTGCCCTTTTTGTCACTCTTCTGTATAAAGTCAATGCTGCAATTTTTTGCCTTTTGCTGTCGTATCTGATGTTGAACCGATGGTTCTCCATTTAGTTCTAGTTTTACCCAATTTTGTACCTTATACTTTAAGTCAAGTGGTCCCTTGAGATACAAGTGACACCACATATTATTATTTGGAGATGTCGTTCAGCTGATTCAAAAACATTTGTTTATGTATTTATTTGCTCTTGTGAGCAAAAACTCGAGATGCAAGATCGTCGCTTCACAACAAGCAGCAGTTTGGCAGATAGTAAACAATTCTTCCAAAAAGAGGCCTCAAGCAGTTTTAGAGCCATACCCAAAATGTGAAAGTGTGTTGTCAAAACAAACAATAAACAACGTGAATTATGCAGTATATTTAGCCCCCCCCCCCCCCCCACACACACACACATAATTTAACATGTTTTGTTGAATGGGAAGCGACTTAGACAGGCTTATGACTAGCATCTGTGTCATGTGTTATGATCCTTTAAGCAAGATATATTTGAACACCCCTGGTGGGGCAACACATGGAGACAGATAATATAGAAGTATTCTTTATCCTCAGTGAAAAATGACTATTACTGAGGAGTTGAAACTGTCTCGCGTGCGTGCGTGCGTGCGAGGGAGAGAGAGAGAGAGAGAGAGAGAGAGAGAGAGAGAGAGAGAGAGAGAGAGGCTAGTGAATATCTCTCCTTTCTCACATAAACAAATCTGACATAATCTGGCAATATGACAAATCCTAACACATTTACATTAACGTTTCCGTTTTTGTTCCTTCCAGGGAGCCTCGGCGTCCGACGAGCCTCCTGCCTGCCGACTGCAGCTCGGCTCTGCTTCTGGGTAGGGAAGATGAGCCCTTGCCTCCTGGCGTGGAGACCCTCCCCCTGCGGCTGATGCAGCAGGACTGCACCGCTGTCAAGACCCTACTTTTGAGGCTGAGGCGCACCCTGCAGGAGGTGGGCTACGCTTACTCACTCACTGATATTGAAATGCATACACAGGCTTTAACTGGGAGGGCTTCTTGGATGAATTGCCTACAACCACAAGCTAAAAAGGGTGATTAGTCTTCTTTCACTTCACTGACAGGGGTCTTCCCAGGCTGTAAAACCCAGGAAGTTATTTCAAGGAGCAAGGCTTTGGGCTAAGGATATATGTAGTGATTACATCTGGACACATTCATCCCCTGTGTTTTTTTTTTTTTAATTAACTTGATTTCAGCTCCATTAAATCACCACCGAAGTGGACCCTACATATACACCACCCCACTCTCTTTATCACCTTTTGTAATTTAATCAGTAATGCGAATAAGGGCAAGATGTTTACTCACACTCACTCGCTGACATGAAACTGCCCGTTTCACTTCTCTTTCAAAGCGTTTGCCACAATAGGCGCACAAGATTTTCCATTGAGGCTCTGAGTCTCTCGCACGAGAAGCATTCCGAAACCATTTACAGTAAATCTCCGTGGTTACCTACAGTAGGTGTTGTTATATTTGATATTTTTTTCCATGAATATTATTTTCCCCCCCATAGGAAATCAGTGAATTCATTTCTTCTAGGCTCAAACTTTCATTGGGAAAGGTCTATCATATACTTGGAACTCCCAAGTTCCTTTTGCTACCATAGACGAAGCAGAATCCCATGGAGCCTTAACGGAGATACGTCACGTCACACAAGAGGATGGTTTCGAGGCGTATTTTGTCCATGAAGGACATTTACATCGCAAAGTGCTGCGGCACGGTGCAGGTTGCCGCCAAGAGCTCTGAGCACATCCATTAGCTCTGTGTCATCCGAATGCGTGAGTGACCTTTAACTGAATGTAGCATTAATAAACGCGCTCGCAAACGCACAGAAAAATCCGCATGAAAGGCTGACCAGTGGCCTCACCGCACATCACAACCATGATAACCTTTAAAGTAAGATCAAAGAACCCATCTGCGAATTTGCGTCCGGCCGATGTTTACTCCAAGGACTTCTGTGAAAGAGACATGGTATGAAAAGTAATAATGAGGAGGAACTAAAGGGAGAGCAAAAGTACAGAGGCTTTCTGATGCCAGGGTATATATTTACTAATCTCTTCCCAAAACTGTGTTTACATGGGCCAAATTCCATTGTTTTAAATATCAGTGTAAATGGTTACTTGTCTATCCTGTGATTGGCCATCTACCAGACCAGGTTGGACCCCCGGCCAGCGTGTATAGGCTTCAGATCACCCACCTTCCAAATGAGGACAAGCGCCATAGAAAATATATAGATTGATGGATGGAAATTTATATGACACAAACACGTTTGAAACAAGAGAGACCCCACACTTGGAGAGGTAAAGAAATCAGTGTGTTCTTAATGCACTTTGCGTGTGGTGGACTCAATGTGACCAGTCCAGCACACCGCACGCGTAATTCCACACATCCAGCATTTCCACCAACGTGAATCCCTGCGGTGACGCCACATGTGAGGTTGAACTTTTACGATTGTTGGAAGCAACCATTTTCTGTGCAGTTTTGAGAGTAGGAGGGGAAACACATTTAAAATTGATTTTTTTTTTTTTTTTTGAGTGTTGCATTTGCAGACCGATCAAAGGGAAGAAAAAATGCTTACCGTGTACTTGAGCTTCCATTGCGTTTCCATGTGACTCGGCATGTCTGTGTCAACTCCATTTTGTTTGCTTGACCTTTTCGCACTGAGCACCCAGCAGTTCTTCTCCTGTGTTTAGCCTAAGCGGTGCCATTTGTTGTTTTTTTTTTTTTTTTTTGAAACCACAAAACAGGTTGCATCCGTCACAAAACAAAAACAGTGGGAGGTAGCATACTACAAAAACTGCTCCGCCATAATTGCAAACGGTGTGGTTCAGATTTAGTTTGATTCAAAGAGCGCCGTACAGCTGCAGACATTCAAAGTCGCTCCTTAAAAGTATTGAAAGAGCGTGCATTGACAACATTTCTACACATTTTCAAACAAAAGGTTTCAAGACCTTTAAAAGCAAAGGAGAGAAATAAAAAGAATCTTTATATCCGTTCAAGTGAAACTGATCTTAAAAAAGATTAGAGGATCTTACTCAAAGAAATGTCGGGAAAAAAAGCAGCGTTTTTTTAAATGGATTTCAAGACATGTACACTTGGGGCTGACTTAACTTGTGTTTGAAGACATTCGCCCTTGTCGTTGTCCTTGTTTGTGCTACCAGTAGTTTGTTGAATGCATCTCGCATTTAACCGTCGCATTTACAATTGATTTATGTTGCATTTGTCTTTCTTTCTTTCTTTCTTTCTTTGACTTTAGGTTGTGTGAAACTGTGACTCTGGCATCCTGGTCAATTCCTCCGCATGAGTTGAAATGCTCACAAGGGCGCTGCTTTGAAAATTCACGAGTTCATGATTGTGACAGCACAATTGCATGACTGTATTCAACTGATACACATCATAAAGAAGGAATACATGTTTGGCCATAGCTTTGAGTCGAAGTACAACAATTAATCGAGCAATCGACAACTTATCAATTATCAAATTGATACACAATTGTATTTGACAAGCGATTAATTGGTTAGAGACCTTGTTCAACTTAAAATTGTCCAAATGCTCCAAGTTTTAGCCTCTCACAAGCAAATATTTTCAGATGTCTGGCAGACATTTATTTTCCGGGCTCTTTTTGTAAAGTGCGATTAAAAATGTACGAAATTGTTTGGGGATCACAAGTTTAAACTATTTCTAGGCAATTATAAACAAATGTCAATTACTTGAGGTTTCAAGCTATTCACGGCAGAGCGGGTTCCCGATGGTTTCTTTTATCTAGTTTGGGAAATCTTGTCATGGAGCCTCCTAAAGTGCATTACTTTAATATGAGGTAATATTCAAACTTTCTCATACATCTGATCGACCTGTATATTTTGCGAAACATGCACTTTAAGTCACCTACAGAAACTCGATATATTGTCTACCAGTGGCTTATTGAGTTAGGTGGCCAAAAGAACACGTTGAAAATGTCATCCATGTGTTCTACATTGGTGCCTAATACAAAGGATCCCCATTTGTCACTGTCAGTCGCAGATTCCAGCACAACAGCCACACTCCCGTTTTGTTCCAGCACACTCTCACATTTCAGGGGCTCTTAAAACTAAACTAGGGTACCAGTAATGGGAAAGAGGAAAAGTGTAACGATAAACATGGAGTAGGGAAATGTCCACTCGGTATACACAGAGCGATAAAAGTAATAATGAATTACATTGGTAAAGTGTCACTGACAAATTAGTGGCTCATTTGCTTGATTTCTGTGCGGGCAGCGTCGGTTCTGTTCCCACACAACAACGGTGAAAGGGTGAAGGATTGTCTGTCTCTATATCCACTATGTGCCCTGTGATTGACTGCCAACTAGTCCCTTTTGCCCAAAGTCAACTGGGATAGGCTCCTGCTCCACGTGAAGCAGAAAGTTTTTTAGATTTTAGCAAGCAGATGCTAATGCTACTAGCATCTGCTTAACACGTATTGGATAATGTCTGACACAGAAGCTTGCCAACAAATTGTTATCCAATGCATCGTGTCTGGCCTCGGCAATGTTTTATTGATTTTGTGGTTAAGTTTTATGCATATTTTTTTTTATTTGTGCGACAGTTAAAATGTTACTGTTACTGATAAATGTTTTATGATAGTGCCATTACTGAAGTATGGGGGGGAAAATTGCTCTGAAATGAGCTCAACTTGGAAGTAAATCAGTGTCAAGAAACAGATTTCTTTTTTTGCAAATATCCTGTCATTTTCAATTTAATGCCTGAAACTCATTCCCAAAAAGCTGGGATGTGGGCAACGCTCAACAAACACCTGTTCGGAACGTTTCACGAGTGACAGGGTTAAGTGGAAACAGGTGAGTGTCATGTTTGGGAATAAAAGAAGCATCCCCCAAAGGCTCGGTTGTTCACAAGCAAGGGCAACGTCCCAACTTCATTGGGATTGGGCTTTATATAATAATAAGATAATTTGATACGGCTAATGTGTTATTATTTGTATTCAAATGCGCATTTCATCCTTAGATTAGCATACCTGTACATACCGATGTGATTCAAGGGGTGCGTCAGACAAGCAAACCCGCTTTACTTTTCATGACCATTCATCATCTTTTGACATGTTGCCTCAGGCTACTGCAAGTCATTAAATTTTGAGCACCCAGGCAGTCCACCTTAGCTTCTTCGCTCCCCACTTCTCCCCCAGTTGCTAAATCTGAAAGGCTTTTTACTTGAACCGCATCTAATTGTCGGCATCGTCGCGCTATCTAGCCCATGGGACTCGAGTGACCTTAAACAGAATGTGTTTATTTTGAAAGGCCGAAAAGATAAGACGGAGGGAGTGTGCCCCTGTCTCCCTCCATGAGGTCATACATTGATCACCAATGGCACATTTAGGGCCGCATCGCACCTATAATTCCTGGGAGTTATTGCTTTTTAAAAGGTCAGCATATCTAATAAACTGCCAAGTTTACATTCTTCCTCGAGCTGACATATCTCACGGGTACCTGAGAGTGTAAAGCTTGAGAAAATTGTTCAAAATATGCCTTAAATATGACACTTTTCACCTTTCCTTGGTTATCTAAAACAAAAAGGTCACTGGTTGGAAAGTGATTCGAGTAGATATGTTAGCTACGAAACATTTTTGCTTCTCCAGAGGCTCTTTGGTTGGGCAAGGGACTTTTGGTATTTCAAAGCGGGCAGCCTGGTGGGCAGTGTTTAGCACCTCTGCTTCACAGTCCTGATGCTTGGGCCTCGAAACTTTGCTCTCAACTTACTGTGTGGGGTTTGCATGTTCTCACCGTGCTCTTTGTGGCTTTTTTTTTTCAAGGTAGTTCTATTTCCTGCCACAATCCAAAAACATACATAAGACTCAAGTATAAATTGTTCACATCGGTCCGTTCATCTTGTTTTACAGAGCACCGAGACGAGTCCTGCCAGCAGTCTTCAGTCTCTGCCCATTAGCCCCTGCAGTGAAAAGTCTCTTCCATTGAAGGTAAACCCATTGCTGTTCATCTATTTCAGTCGTGCGCAGATCCATGTCAGTGTAAATAGGCACACGACATTTTTAGCTGGGATCATGAAATAGAACTTGGATAATATCCTACTTCCAAATACAGGGAAAATGTGTGAAAAAAAATAGAGAAATAATTTGCTCTCAGGTGATAAATGGAGACCTTTTGATCTGGGCTGCCATGCAAAAAAAATAAAATAAATAAATAAATCTCAGATTAATGTTTCTTAAAGGCCCTAAAACATTTAACCCTCAAATGTTCATTTCATTAATCGTTGCTTCATGTTTTTGACAAAGCAAATGTGTGTCATGGCGTTGACCGTGGATCAGCTGGACAGCAACTCGATCCCTGCGATTGGTTTCACAGTTTCACAGAACAATTGCACATGTGCGCCCTCTTTATTGACCCACATCGCTGATCGGTGGCAGAAATTTAGGCTGCAACACAGCTTGAAGACAGAAGCTCACGTGCAAACAGCCCACATGGAGAAAAAGTACGAAAGGCGGGGGGCTAATTTAAAAAAAAAAAAAAAATAAAGTGACTGTTGGAGATGCACAGTGAGGGCTAATTACCCAAAGTGTTTTGGCACTGAAGTATGACATTGAACTTTAATACGGGCCATAAACAAGACAACACATACTGTAGTATCGTCAGATATTTTAATAAAATTAGTCCCCCATGTGTATTTTGCCCGAGCCAAGTTTCCCAAGTTTCCCTTTGGCCTCGTAATGTCCCTGGCCTTAAAGATAACTTTTAATAAGGACATTTTCCTCATATATATTTTCTATGCCCATATACAACAATAGCCATTTATCTTGTGTAATTTTCAACAAGAATTTGTTGTAGAAATCGCCAACAAATCTGTATCAGGGAGGGAGGACTTTTTGTGTTGCAAAAGCAATGATTTATCGACATGTTGAAAACTTTTGACCCGAGGTATGTGCTTCCGAGCTTCACGTACAGCATTTTTCTGAGTTCGTCCCGCTCACCAGTTCATCTCATCAATACAAAGGACTATGAAAGTTCTTATATATTTCTCTAGATGATGATACATTGTTGTCCAATCCGAAGGTATGGCGGGCACGGCAGAAAGTAAAAGAGTGTTTTGTTAAATTGGAATTTAAGGTGAATCGACAGCAGAGAAGCATCGATCAGCGGAGGAGGGAGAAGAGGAGAATTTGTCCGGCACTCTAGTAAATGTCTCTCTTGGAGTAAAAATAATCTCAGCGAGCCACCTGAGAGGCCACAGTGTCACACAGCGCTCTATTTTTTTTTTTTTGCCCTAGTTCCTGCGTTTGACTGCGTTAAAGAGCGGCCTCTCATTATGTGTATTCAGAGGAGCGTTCTAGGACAGCGCAGGCAATTTAAATGACATTTGTGTACATTCACGTCTCGTTTCAAGGCAAAGAGGGAACATCTTTTTATAGCGAGGCATCCATCACCGTTTCAGAATTAGAAATTAATAATGTATAATAGAATGGAACACTCACCAAGGATGCACTCCCTATGGTACACTTGTGTCATAATGGCATGTGTGCATATGCATACGGTTGAGTTTACTCAATTTCATTCGCTCACCCTTCCAAGTCAAAACAAGTTTTCCCAATTGAAATGGATGGAATTGCCCCGATTCTATGACGGCACCTCAAAATCGAACACATTTTTGGAACATGTTTGTTAATAAGAAAAATAGCAGATTTTGCATGTATTCATATATTAATAATCGCTCCTTTTAGTATGGCATTGGCCATCATGGGGAAATATCATATATTACATAAAAATACAGCGATTATGGAACACGAAAGAGCCCGTCACAACTAAAATAAATAAATAAATAAACAATAAAGGGCTTCGAGAAGCACACCTCAGTCAGTATGAAGACCGTGGGAAAGATTTCAGTATGATAAATCACCACTGGATGGCAGGAGTGTCTTTGATCAGATTTTGGTCCACAGTGTGTGCGTGGGTTTGTTGCACTACGGCGATCGTACGTCGCGAGGTGGTGTGCGGAAGCAGTGTGGTGTTGAGAATATGGATAAATACTGGCAGCTTACTCTACAACAAAGCTGTTTCAAATTAAAAAATTATGACGAAGTTCCATCGTCATCCCTGATGAACACGCACACACACGCGCAGGTGCACAAAAACATAAGTTCATTGAAGAATTGTTCATAATTGTAAAAGGTTGTTTGTCTGTATGGATCCTGCGTTTGGATGGCCGTCAATCTAGTGTACCCTGCCTCTCGCTCTAGGTTAGTTGGGACGGATGACAAGCAGTATAGAAAATTTACAGATTTTATTCCAGCCACGTAGTGATGACTGTGTGAGACAAGACTTTAATAGTTTTGCTTCTCACCCCCCACCCCCATATTTTTTGTTACATGCCTGATATGAGCTGCTGAGGGGAATGAAAAGCCATCATAATAAAATGTAAAAAAGCCTTTTGCATCTCAATTATTCATTACAACTTCTTCAATTTTAGACTCAAAAGATGAAGACTGGAGAGTGAGTCACCCGAAGAGATTTTTTTTTTTTTTAATAGAAAGCACAAACACAATTCAGTAGCTCTGCATTATGAGACACATTTTCACTTTGTAATCAAATTTAACTCAAAATTTCAGACATTCTGTATCTTTATTTGAATTTGTCAGCAATAATCCAGAGTCAAACACCTCAAGAGCGACAGATACAATTTTATGAACAAAATATGGCTTAAAAAACGTTGCAACCATTATTATGCATGACCTCATTTAAGACTAAAGCTCAGAGAGCCTCTTAAAAAAAAAAGCTTATTTTTTGCTGCTTAATTCATATTCCACAATTGCAGTATTAACTGTAATAGCGTGCTTAGACTAACAGGGGCACATAGAACATATTGCAATGAATATTTTTGGTTTGACTTTCATGAAGTCCATAAAAAATTGTAACGGGTCATCAGCCATAAAAGGCAGACAAGTTGTTTAAGGAGGATCAAGCTGTAATGCATTCATCCGTAAAGTTTCGAGAAATAGATAAGTGACTTAACATATCAAAGGAAACATTTCTCGAATCCATTAATAGTCAGAGTTCTAACTGCCAGCATGTACTTCCAAAAGAATGTGAACAAATGGAATCATTTCTGCTAACCTGGGGAATGTAATTCATCTCCACGGTCTCTTCAGCAGGCTGCTGATTGCGAGCATGGAGTGCCTTCAACCGCGGCGCAAAATCACATTAAGCGGCTGCACTCGGTTGATTCTGATCGGATTTCTTCCCCCCCCTCAGCCCCCAGCTGAGGTCGTTCCAATCACATTATTTTAGAAATATATTCTCATGCTCCACTTTTACCATTCGATGGAGCACTGAAAAATTGTCCTTGATACCACCCGAAGGGTCAGTTAAAAAGCATGTTGATGCTTCTTTGTACCAACTTTAGTTACTGTTTCATGGTCTACAGTTTTGGAAAATGATTCTGCAACAGTACTCGGGATCTCCCCCCCAAAAAATAAACAAACCAAAAAAAAAAAAAAAACAGAATTGAAGGCTTCCCCTTTGGCAAAAGCTCACTATTTTTTTCAGACATGCTCATCCTCATGAAATGTTTTGCTAGCTGTTGTGGGTGTGACTCCCAAATATTGAATCACCACCTTCCCTTTCTATCGCTTAAAAACATGCCATTTGGTAGGCAAAAAGTTAAAAAGAAAAAAGAAGAAATCTCAAGCCCAAAAGCTTGCATTCCAGACTGTTTAGAAACTTAGAGCATAGTTGGAATGTGCTGTTTGGTTATTCAGAGCAGCGCACATTGGGAATGCTAGAGCCACTCAGAGTGGCAAAACGTCCGAAATGACGTGTGTAGCTGTTGTTCAAGCAGAGTCTTCTTTTGCAAATTCAAAGAAAGGGAGCACGCACTGCCTCTCCTAACACTGGCGCTCTTCGGCTGTGTTCAAATTCGTCGGTTGCATCCCCAAAGACTAAAGGCCACGTGACATAACTTCCGGCGCACCTCAACTGCACGGTAGTGTCCAAATTCACGCGGCATTGGAATCTAGCCTTTGTTTCCATGGAGACGAGCCTTGAGCGAAAGTTGTTTGGAGCACACTTTCGTCGCCTAACGTTGCTCTGCTATTCTCTTACACCGCTCTACGCCGCTCTTCTTCTGCACAGCAATATTTCATCTCTTCTACCAGCCAAGTACATTTCAGCCTTCTTACGGCGGTACGGATGACAGTCAAATGAGTGTTGCTTGCCCTATTCAAATTCGACACGATTTATGCGGTCTACGCAGGCTACATGAGGAGGAGCCTTCAAGGACCCGGCCGATGAATTTGGACACAGCTTTAGAGTGGAGTTTGGTATACACCCAGGGGGGCCAAACACTTTGATTTGAATTTTTTTTCCAGAACAGTACCGTATTCTCTGCACAGCTTTCATAGATAGGGCACACTGCATTAGAAGGCACATAGAATAGAAGCGACAATAGTGGCTGCGTTTGCATTATGCATCCACTAGATGGAGCTACGCACAGGGAATACAATACAATACAGTCCAATACAATGCGGCTTTATTTATATAGACCATAAAGTGACCATAACAATAAAGAAGTTCAGCCATTTTGATGTGAAGTAGACATTTTGGGTCATTTTGCACATTTTTAGGGGTCTTTCAAAGCCAAAGTTGTCATATACAAGACACATTTTGTGTGTACGTTTTTGCTTGTTTATGGAACTTGACAGGGAAAGATTGACACGACACAAAATTAATAACTAATTGCTCCACAAGTTCAAAGCCGGATCAAAAATTTTTAATCAATTGTTCATTTAGTGCCAAAGAAAACATGCATCTTCAAATTGTCTGAGAACAGAATGGTTATGTGGATTGGGAGGTGGGGGAAGACCGGTTTCATGCTCTTTGAGGCTGATTAGCGGGGTACTGTTAAAGTTACAGCCTTGACTTTCCTGGCTGTCTGTTCAGATTCGATGACTCCCCAAGGATAGGATCTCTTCGATACCATCATGGTCAGCCTCAGGCCCTCTCTCTCTTCTCTCACCCTCCATCCATCCTTTACCTCATCTTGTCCCCTTTCCCGTATGTTTTTACTCACATTTTCCTGTCCATTTTTCTCTTTTGAAGAAGTAATGACGACCTGACCACCTGTCTACTTTTCTCAAACTTGTCTTTCTAACTTTTTTTTTCCTCCACTCCTTTTATCCGTTACTTTGTCTTGATCTCGCCCAGAGTAGCATTTCTCGTAACCGGACCTGTGAGTCCTTCTTCTTCGAATGATTGAATTTGAATGAAACACTCAGATGTCCTCATCATCTTAAAGCTTCCAATAAGACAGCGTGTTGCCGGACATCCTTTGACAAAAATTATAATTAAAAAAAAAAAATACATATATATATATATTTTTTTTGGTATGCACATCATGCGGCCCTGACAGTACTTACGCTTTCAGTGTTACTTTGAACTTTTAATACCTATACAATATTACTTCTCAGTTTTCCGAATGACGTGTCATCAATCAGGTAACTTTTCTGCTTGCGAGCTAAAATTTGAGATCTCAGCAACCTTCATTATTTTACCAATGGATAGATAACGGCAGCAAACCTCCACCAACCACCCCATCATTTGGGATACAAGCTCAATATTAGAAAAATGTTGATTGTCAATCTGTCACCTACTTTACTATACTACTCATACGGTGTGCTATGCACTTGAATCCACAAATTAAATCTTTGTCAGTATCTGTCAATTTGTACCCTAATAGAAGAAGATGAAACTTAGTAGAATTCTTTAAAAAAAAATAAAAGAGAAGATGAAAATGTTCAGCTTCATAAGACTGATGCCTGCAGTGTTCAGCGTCATAAAGTAATGCGCAACACTGTGTCTTGTTTTTTGTGTCCAGGACTGGAGCAGAGAGGAGGTGTTGCTGCAGCAACTGAAGGAAAAAGACGAGCTGATTCTCCGGCTTCAAAGTGAACTGGTATGAATCTGTGCACACGCCACCGATGTGACCAGTATGAATTCAGAATCTTTTATGGAAATGGAACAGCGTTCCCTCACTTTTCATTTAGATGATTATGGGGGAGACCGCTCTCAAGCAAATCGGTCCAAATGACCAAGCAGCTTCATAATGTATAATTGACATTCATTTTATACTTGTCAAACAGTGGCCAGCTTTCTAATGGACCCCATCCCCATTTGGTTGCTGAATGCATGATTTACTTTTGACAAACAAATACCTCGCTCGAAAAAGATGGCTCCTTTTTCCACTCAGGGGGGAAACAAAAAACAGCAGCTAGTAAGTGTAAAAAGTCCTTGGATGTTTCTATCTTTGAGGTCAGAAAAATACCTTGAATCCTTGAAAACTAAACTTGAAACATTTCTTGAAAGGACAATGAGAAAATAAATTAGTAAGAAAGTAAAATAAGAATATACTAAAATAACAGCAATTGAAAGAAACAATAACAAATATGGGCTGTTCCTGCGTCTTTTGGCCTCTTCGGGGCGCCAGGCATGGATGGAATACACACTTAAAACGAGAACAGAAGAAAATTGCTATTGAACTCTATTAATATAACACATTTTTCAAAGATTTGGAAGAATTTGTCCCTTTGAGTAGTGTTACCTGTGTGTAAGCGTTTCCATGGCGTTTGTGTGTGAAAATTCGTTATTTGAACGAATAACCCTGCCAAAGTCGATGCTAATTTTCCGCTAGTATTTCAATGGATTCTTACAAGACTTGAAGCATTAGCGGCTAGCGATGCTTTAAAAATGAGGCATGTCGTGTATTTAAATCCACGATGTGTGTAATTCTTATGGTTGTGTGTTTACTTTAACAGTAAACGCCAACTGGGGTGTCATTGAAAAGCTTAAAGGAGCATCACATACGCTACACTAACGTTTTAAAGATCAAGAGAAGCCAAAATCCAAATCATGATTACATTTCAATTAATCGTCCATCCCTAGTCGAACGTAACTTAAAAGTCTTTAATTTCAGTGGACCACCATGCAGTCGTAACACATTGTGTGCCAATGTTTTTGTTCTTGGGGTGGATCCACATTAATGCTTTGTTTCTTGCTGTTTTGCTTCATTTCTACCTAATAGCACATAATACAAGCAAATGGAGGCCTCCCCTCCATCTGCAGTTAATTAAATACAATGTCATGTGTAGCTTCAGCTATTAAGAATTTTCACGGATGAATGGCGTCAGACATTGAAACATTTAAAATACGCTCTTATAAATCTACCATGGGCACACTTTCATCGACTTTTGAACTAAATTATTAAAGCAACTAGAATGTTTTGACTCTGTTTTAGTGCATATGCATCAAAGAATAATTGGCTTTGAAGCGTGGATCTTGGGATTTTTTTTTAGCCCCCTTGAAAAGAAAAATATGTCAAAGTTGTATTTTCTGTTAATGACTAAAATAGTTTTCTCTTCTACTCATAACCTGTCAAAGTGGCGGGGACAGTGATTCAAAAGCCTGAAAAACAAAGGTGAAATAATTGATGAACACGGGAATGGTTTGAAGGCTTGCCATGATACAGAGTGTGTGATCAAGAAGCCTTATTATATGATGAGTACAACCTTGATAGTTTTCATGTAGACCTCATGGTGAGTATGGAGCCCTTTTCCTTTCATTTATTCAATTCTAAAGTTCAATTATTTAGAAGTATAGAATTTTCCTGAATGTTTTAAGATAGATTGGCTCGGATTGGCAAAAGGAATATATCGCCGAATAAAATTCCATTGGGATTCGGCTTTCTTATTCTGACTGAGGAGTGGATATGGAGCATTTTAACTCGGTTTGGTCATTCGGATTCATTCTAATTGGAAGAGAAAACGCTGGGACGCAAGTGCAAACTCGCTCACAGACACATTCAGAAACAGGCACATAAAAAGATTGAGTTGGTTGTTTAATTTCACACTTGATGGGTGGGCAGGCACTCCAGAGACCCAACTCAGTTTATGCAAGTCATTAAATTAATTAATTTCCACGGTATGTCCCTTTTAAGTGTTGTTTGCCACAATATTGTTGTCATTGTTTGTCCGTCATGTGTCACCTGCTCTATCGAAGCGGCACAATGCAGACACGACGCCAGGCCTCAGCAGGATAATGTGCCGGCGTCCTACGTCGGAGCATAATGAGAGATGCCAGTCACCATCCAATGACTTGAGTCTCATTTGGCATCTGTGTCTGATTTGCTGTCTGGCACTCACATCTCAATCTTGTCAGCCTTCTTGTCTTTCAGTCTTTTGAATTATCACGCCTTCTCGACTCCTCTTTCTCACCGAGCTGTACTCAACACTGAGGCTTAAATGTGCATCTCTTACCTGTTCTGACAAGGAGCTTTTACTTTGGTTACAGGTTGTCCAGTGAGCATGCTAATACTTTAATAACTCACCAAATTATAATTACAGGTAGCAAAGAACATGATGGACTCGGCTACTGCAATCCCTCGAATAGATGCCGTGCGCCGTTTAATTCGCCTTGTGTCACAAATAATCTCAAACCTTTTAGGCTCGAAATGACTTTTTTTTTTTTCTATGAAGAGTTTTGCGAATCTATGGCTTCATCTGAGAAGCAACTTTGTGATTACTATGAGTTGTTTTTTACAGGTTAATTCCAGGGGCCTGAAGCAATGGTTTTATTAAAAAAGAAAAATGTGACAATAAAACAAATCGGCAACGGGTTCCCTGCTTTATACTGTCAACATTTTTATTTATTCACTACACATTGTGAAGAGCAGCAAATTGGATTTTCTGCGTCTTTTCACATACTGTGTGTTAACCTGATTCCTACATAAACATATGTCGCGTTTCTTTTAATATCTCTGGCTCTCATCTCTTTTCACTTGCTGTGTTTTCCTTCAAAAGATAGATAAAGGATACCCAACGTATGTCGGATCCCATGACAGCGCTGCATTTCATTTTGTTCACTTGACAGAAACGGGCGTTTCAAGCGAGCTGGTGTGTGTCTTGTATGTTGGGGGGAGAGAGAGCTTGAGAGAGGGGAAACCTTTCCTGCCGATACCAAGTTGAAGTGCGGCCCTTTGAAGGAAAGGGGCAATTCGTAGCCAAAGCTCCAACCGCCTACCTCTGTAAATCTGCCAGTGGAAACCTATTAATTATCTCCTACAAGGACCTGCTGACAGGCTGGCCATCACTGGCTGTCACTTTTAACAGCTTTTCTGCTCTTCCGTGTTGATGCATTTTGCTGAAAGGACTTCACTTCAGCCCACGACGTAACACTGTAGAAATAAAGGGCTTGCTTTTCATGTCGGTAGTGAGACATTTTTAAAACTCATTAACTTTGTGCGCGAATGTTTTGGGATTGGACGTAAGACAATTTCCTATACGATAATCCCCCCCAATTCACAGGGGATCGGGACTGAGCCCTGCTGAACTGCCATGAATGAATGATATGCTTGTGAATGTGAATGGGTGTCTGTTAGTAGATGGTGTGTGATTAACTTGCGAGCAGTCCGTTGTGTACACTGCCGCTTGACCGGATGTATATGAATACAGTATCAAGGTTCAAAATATATATAATATATAGATTTGAGGGACAATATTGCTTTTCAATGACTTCATTTGAATAGCGTATCTTTTAAGGAACACAATCTTCACACATCCCAGCATTCTTAATTTACTTGATTGTTCCAATTAAGGTCATCATAGTCCGTCCCCCGTCCTCAATCATATCCCATGCGAAGCCTCTGTTCTCCAAAAGCCTTGACGAGTGCTGGGCCCGGGCATGTCACAATGATTTGCTACCGTGTTTGTAAAAGAAAAAGCTCCCAGCGTAAATAGTGCCAAATTCCAAGGAACGTGCAACCTTCTAAAAACATTGCCAAACACATAAAATGGCTGCCTGCAAGTTTGTGTGGTCAGGGTAAAAGCGGAAATAGTGAGCAATCTGTAAATCATTATTATCCCCAAGAAGGACATTCAAGTGAACTTTCTTATGACTTTTCTATATAAAGAAGAAAGAAAATGTTGAAGTTTGCTAAGGTTGCGTACTTGTTCTAATTCCCTCCATTTGATGTCCTTTCCCCCCCCACTTCGGGGACATGGCTGATTGTGTGTGTGTTTGTTGTTCATACAGGACAGTGCCAGAGCCGCCCTGAAGATGAAAGACGGCCACGCGAGTGACCGCGCCACGCAGACGGAGCACATGGGGCCAGAGGTAAGCGAAGCGCTCCACGAAAAATCTCCCCCAGAACTTATTTTATCCTTGCTCTCTTCCCTTGCTTTACATTCCTTCCCATCTCCTTAAGAGCATGTTTTTAAACTCGAATCCATCATGTACCCTGTCCTGAAAATGCTGTGACATTCATTGGATTGCCCTGCTACCCAACTCTTGCTCTTCAATTTCCACAATGCTCATCAGGGAGGCTACCATGCGATGTATTTTACCTGGCCTTTGACATGGCCTCCTTGGTTTCACCACCAGCTGACATTATGGGGGCGCAGTTGACGTAATGTATGTCTCCCCGTGCTGGAAATCGGGCCGATGGGTTTGGGTCACTTTCCTTTTCTGATACGGTTGCACCGGCAACATGTGAGGGAAATACGTTCCCGACTGCGGCAGTTACTTTGAAAATAGGACACGGCGCTGATTTTGCTATGTGCATCAAATTTTACTTTATGTCTACAAAGGGCATTTGTTCTCCAGCGCAAACTGTCGCCCGAATGAAACCTTTATGACTACGACTTACGACTTTTGGCCGTTTTTAGTACAAGTCATAAGCACACAACAGTAATATCATGAACATCACCTCATCCTATCGTGAGACTGAAACAACAGTTCATCGGCATATTGGAATTCATGAGAAAAGCCCGAAGCTGTCCGGCAGGCGACGTCCATCGGCATTTCTACGTTTGACTTTCTTTTGCCCTTCCATGTTTACATCCTGTAAAGTGTGACATGAGGTACCATAATCAACCGACCTGTGTTGACTCGGCTCTACCAGTTACTGTTGTCCAATCCATGCACGGCGACCGAGTGTTGAGCTTCAGGTGCCACAGATGGAGATGACAGATGGCCCCGTGTGTGTTTTCTGACTTACGGAATTTAGAGTAGGCTGACATTGTCTTCTTGTTCCTTATTCAGAACTATAAAAAAAAAAAAAAACACACTTCTTAACTGGCACATATAGACTGTCATTTTAAATGGGGAACCCGAACTGATTGATTTTGCAATTATGTGCTGGTCATTTAAGCTTCTGGTTTTAAGAGAACGTTAAAGTGGATTGATTGTGCATGCAGTTACCCTTGAACAACATGCACTTCTCAATGTAGACATTACAGATGGTTCACATACCCGCCGGCGTGCTTAGCCCGTAGCTCATTGGCTGATGGCTTTATAACTCTGCAGTCATTAACCGCCAGCAACTTTCGAATCAGAGATTCCCCCATATTCACAACCATTTCATACAGGTCACCTGACCTTTCAGCACGCACAGAATATGATGTTATGAGAGTGTAAGCAGCCAGTGTTTCTAGCCTTTTCCATTCCTTAGTATTCAGCAAAATGCAGATTTTTGAACAAAAAGAGAAAACAAGCTTTTTGTCAGAAGAAACATGTCAACGGAGAACGGTTTCTTTGAAACTAATATTTGTTGCTTTTGTGACACCCCCAAACTCTAAAACAACAAGACTAAGAAAGGGATTTTGACGGGCAAATAATTTAGTTACAGATGTGTGACGAAGAAACGCGCCATAAGCAATGCTGACTCACCGCACGACTTGAGTTGATCATCAGCGGCTTTTTTTCCAGTGGTGTTTCATCATTCATGACATGAACTGCAGTATATTTTCTCGCGATGGGTACACACACATTCTAATACCTGCCGCAGCACACTCTGGTTATATCGCACATGTCTATATTCTGTTCGAGTAGGAGGTGCCTCAACTTGTTTGCCGACCATTTTTTATTTATTTATTTATTTATTTTTTTTGCGTTTCTCATACTCATAGTCGACATGACAAACTTAGGTCCGCCAAAACGGATTCCTTTTATAGGGAAATAGGGGTGTCATTTATGCTAACTTGAGCTCCACGGGCACAAGCCGTCATTTAGAATGAATTCTGATTCATGAACTTAGGCAGTGGTGTGAAGAAAATGGTTTGCTATGCATGAGTCGTGAATCCGACTCAGATTTTGTGTATCAACTTGTGCACAGAGTAAAAGTTTCGACAATTTTTTTAGTGAATGAGACCTATCGTGTTTTGGGAACTGTGTATCTGCTGTGGGAAACAAAGTGCATTTCACCACAAAATGTTGGTCCATTGAACAGAGCCATGTACTGTAAAATGTCAGCCGAAAAAAAAAAACAAAAAAAAGATCAAGATGGATCATGAATGGCTCTTCTAATTAAATATTGTCAAGTAAACAAAGGACTGGCTCAAGAAGGAGCAGACTAAGTTCAAGGAGTGGCCAAGTTTGTCTCCAGACTTCAACCGAATAGAAAACCCATCGAATGGGCTGTAGGTTTGAGTTTCCACCCAAAGAATTCAGCAGGGCATCAAATAATTATATCATCCACTGTATAATTTCGAGATGTCAGTGTTGGTTGTAGATGGCACAAAATCTGTCTTAACACAGACGCCCGCACGCACGCACGCACGCACGCACGCACGCACGCACGCACGCACACACACACACACACACACACACACTTGTTTGTATTTATGTATTTCCAGCACTGACTTTCCATCATTTTTGGCTCATGTCAGTTATACATATTAATCAGTTATTTTCTTTCTCCCCGCTTCAGGCTTTTATTACATCCCTCTGGCACCGCACACCTACTCCCACTAATGCTTTTCCAATAATACAGTCAGCGATGGCCTTACCCTATTGAATGCTCGTTGATTCTGTCGGCTTCAGCGAGCAAAAAAAAAAAGAAAAAAAGAGGCTTTTTGTGTGACATGGCGAGTACCTTGTTGTCTGTTTGTCACGGTTTGTGTGTGCGTGCGTGCGTGCGTGCGTGCGTGTGTGTGCGTGTTCCCCCTCGATTGAGTGTGTGTGTGTGTGTGTGTGTGTGTGTGTGTGTTTTGTGCCACAGTTATTAGTGGGCGGAGGGCCAAGTCAATAATGTGTTGACAAACGTCAAAGTAACTTGAGTGAAAAGTTGCATTTATGCCACAGACAGTAGCATTCACTCATTATTGTATTATGTGTGTTGTCATGCCTCATGGCGGAATTCAATTATCAGCACGGCAATGCCATTAACACAAAATCCATTTAGCAGGAGCTACTTGTTTGTTAAAGCTTCATTTCTTAATGTTTTGTTCACTTTGAGGAGATATCATCAGGGGGTTTTGTTGTGTAGAGTATGCAAATTGATGTTAAGGCATATAATGATTTGTAGGTGACATTCAGAAAATGAATGGATTATGGTGTTTTGGGGGCAGTTTAAAATAGTTGCGTGGTGCTTTATTAGAAACCTTCGGACATTCTTCAGTCAATAGTTGGGAAGCATCAAGGATTTAAGCAGACTGTCGTCTGGCCACCGCTCAGAAATATGGCGGCTGTACATATGCATCTATCAAGTCATGGGCGGAGATAATCTTTGTGGGGTTGGGGTTATGTAAACTATCCAAGTTGTGACATCACAGTGGCTTGATCACAGATGAACACAGTTGCGAAAATAGGCAGCAAACAAAAGATTTGGTTCTTTAAATTCACACTTCATAGGTGGGCAGACACTGCAGAGGTGCAACTATTTGTTTGCAAAAATATTTATATCAATATGTATTATTATTATTGTTATTTTTACTACTACTAATTATTATTATTATTATTATGATATGAATTGCACAATAATTCCCCATATTGGGTCCTCAGATCTGATGCTAAAAAAGTTTATGAAACCTTCTTCTAGATCTTGAATTATTGAGTTCCTTGAGGGTTTCGCGACACTTCTGATCAATTTTTAATTAATTTCATCAATGCTCACATCTTAATGCACGCCAAGAGTGCTTTGAGAACGATTCATCGTCTTGGCTGGATTCCATCTGTGAGAGCAGAAATGATTTTTATAGACGTTTATAAGTGGCAATTACATATTTTCAGCAAATATAGAATAATCATTAGCACTGCCACAATTTGAGACCAAACAGATAGTTTTTTCCTGGAATTGCACCATTTCTAAAATAAGTAAACTATGAAATAAAATAGGACAGAAAAAAAAGAAAAACGTCATTTTCACCCTCATAATAATTTCCACCTGGTAGGCGTGACTCCCAGTAAATGTATGTTTTGCACCCCAAAATTTCTTCTCCTTTTAAAAATTATTACTACCTGTTTTATTATTATTATTATGATTATTATTATTATGTTAATTATGCTCCCAAAGTCAGTTTCACTTGGCAAAGTGAAATTTGTGAGGCGTGTTTATGAGTTCCCAAAAAAAGTTTCAAGAAGCCATGACCAAAATTACACAGGAAGTCTACCATTTTAATTTGAAGTGGCCATTTGAAGGTCATTGCGACTATGACCTAAATAAATAGTCGAGTTGATTTTTCCACCTATTTGAGCAATGCGATTCTCTGTCGTGAAGCCCATTTGCATTAAGTAACATGCATTCACTCCTCCCAAACCTGCCCAGGTCCACAGTGACCTTAGTTTCCTTTAACACAGTGTCCAAATTGAGGAAGTGTGTCCCGCGCTCAAGCGTACACTACATCTTTGTGATTTATTCTAAGGCCAGCACCTAGATTGTCTGTGGAGGCACTACATCTTTGTGATTTATTCTAAGGCCAGCACCTGATTGTCTCCATATGCTCAGCCCCTCCCGTCCTTGAGAGGATGGACTCTTCATTAGAGGAGCAGCTGGCTGCCCGCTAGCAAGGTAGGCTAGTAAGCGCAGGTGACTCTACTCAGCAGTGGCTTGCAGCATGTGCGGCCTGATTTGAGAACCCCCACTCCCCACCCCCCCACCTCAATGCCACCCTCTACTTGTTCTTGTGACCATGCTCGCGAGTGTGTAGGAAGATAATGCAGCTATGTAGGTTAGGTACCCCGGTGCGCTGTTGGCTAGCAACAGCAAGTGCGTCCACAAGTGGGGCAGCTATTTCTACTTCTTCGGGCTTCTTCATGCAGAGGTCAAGCATCCCACTATGACTTGCTCTATCTATCAACCGGAGCTGGAGTCAGTCTCAGCTAACTGGGTGAGAGTT